CCCAGGCAGCCTTCTCCCCCTAGTGATGAGATGGTATTCCACAGCTCCATCTTGGCCACCTCAAAAAAAGCAAGCACCTCTTTCCCAAAAGCCCTAGCAAAGTCCCAGGTCTCACTCTCCATTGGCCCGTGTTGGGTCACGTGTTCATCTCTGAACCTACTGCAGTGGTTTGGGTTGGCCCAGGAATGAAATTTGCCCCACCCCAGAAACCAGGAGTGAAGTTAGCCCCATTCCAAGCCCATAGCTTGGCATGGGAGGGAGTATATGTATCCGAGGGCTACCATAAAACAAATGACCACAAACTTGGTAGCTTAGAAGAACAGAAATTGTCTCACAGTCCTGAGTCCAGAGGTCCAAAATCAAGGAGTCGGCAGGATTGGTTCCTCTTGGAGGCTCTGAAGGAGGATCCATCCTGTGCCTCTCTCTTAGTTTCTGCTGGTCACTGGCAGTCCTGGTGTTCCTTAGCTTGTAGCATGTCACCCCAGTCTCTGCCTCTGTCTTCACATCACCATCTGTGTCTCTGTGTGGCTGCTCCTCTTCTTTTTTTTTTAAATATATTTTTATTGATTTCAGAGAGGAAGGGAGAGGGAGAGAGAGCTAAAAACATCAATGATGAGAGAGAATCATTGATCGGCTGCCTCCTGCACACCCCACACTGGGGATCAAGCCCACAACCCAGACATGTGCCCTGACCGGGAATCAAACCCTGACCTCCTGATTCATAGGTTGACACTCAACCACTGAGCCAGGTGGGCGGTGCTCCTCTTCTTAAAGGGACACTAGTCATTGGATTTAGAACCTACCCTAAATCCGGAATGATTTTATCTCAAGATCTTTCACTAATAACATCTGCAAAGATCCAAATAACATCACACTCCGAGGTGCCTGGTGGAGGGTGATTCCGTCAAGGGATCATCAGGGTGGCCAACTCATGAGCTGGCCACCATGGGTGGGGGTAAGGGTCCCCAGCCCTCATGCTCTGACACCCTCTCTTTCCGCAGCTATAGGGCTGCTTGCCTCCACGACCACAGTGCTCCTAGGGGGCATCCGGGCATCCAGCCGGCTCTTCCGGAGGCTCCTGTGGGACGTGGCACGGTCTCCCATTGGTTTCTTCGAGCGGACGCCCATGGGGAACCTGCTGAACCGCTTCTCCAAGGAGACAGACACCATAGACGTGGACATCCCAGACAAACTCCGGTCCTTGCTGATTTACACCTTCGGACTCCTGGAGGTCACTCTGGTGGTAACGGTGGCCACCCCGCTGGCTGCCGTGGCCATCCTGCCATTGCTGCTCCTCTACACTTGGTTTCAGGTAGGGAGAGGCTGGGCAGGCTCCTGTGGCCAGCTGAGGTCACCCCAGCCAGGCCCCGGTCCCTGGGCAGGAGTCCGTGTAACAGGTTCTGCCCAGCTGGGCAGTTGGGGCCACCCCTGAAGACTTCCCAGAGGCAGGGACACCAGCCTGTTTCTAACACCTGTTCTTACCTGTGTCTCCCAAATGTTCACATCGAAGTGCTTCGTAGCTAACGTTTTGTCCTGCTGCTGCTGAAATGAGCTTCCTCCTCTCCAAATATTTGGAAACCAAAAAGGCATTGCAAGGTCTCAAAGACTGCATTAGACTAGCCTCTTTCAGTTGCCAGAGACCAACTTAAATGACCTTTTTTTTGGGGAACAGAATTTAATGGCTT